AATCGCGGTCTCCAGAAACGTCCGCGGGGCTACGTTTCCAGAATGAGCTTGGGTTGGAACTGAGATTGTATTGAAAATGTAAGCTAATAAAATAACTAATATTAAAATGTGAAAATTTTTGAGTTACTATAATAACAATAATAATATCTACATCTATATTTACCATTAGATAATGTATGTATATCTGTATAAGAACACATTTATCAAAAAAATTACAAATTTATTAAACTATATATATATATATATATATATATATATATATATATATATATATATATATATATATATATATTATAGCTCATTGGCTATGTTAGCTAATGCATTTAAAAAAGTAGCTCACATACTTTCATTTTGTTGTCAACGGTGAACATCTATCCACTTTTTGTGTTTAACGGAAAATAAAGAAACTCATACATGTTTGTAACAGGTCTGGAAGTGAACTACTCCGTTAACTAATGCTAATAAATGAGATCATATTGAAAATGTAAGCTAATGCAATAACTAATATTAAAATCTGAGATCTTTTTGAATAACTATAATAACAATAATAAAATCTACATCTGTATGTGTAATTTATAATATATTTAGAGCTGTATCAGAAGATGTCTATTGAACAATTTACAAATGTATTAAATAATATTTTAAAAATATTCATTTTATTGCTCATTGGTTATGTTAGCTAATGCATTAAAACAAGTTCACTTCCAATGATGATCGATATCAGTATGGTCACTACTGACTTCCATAGTATTTTCCCTACTATTGTTGTCAACGGTGAACATCAAACCTCTTTATTATGTTTAACGGAAAGAAACTCATACATGTTGATAACTGTTCTGTTTTTTTTTTCTGTTCTGTTTTTTTTTTCTTGAAGTGAACTACTCTTTACCTAATGCTAATAAATGAAATCTTATCGAAACTTTTTTCCATGAAATTAATCATAAACATGTCACAAATTCATTGCATTTTTGACTCTATTCATTCTAAAAATCTCTTAAATTAGTCTCAGACAGTAAAAATCCTATCATGTGCACTCGGCTTTGGTTCATCCACACCATACAGACTCCCAGATGGTCTGTCATGAAACATGAGCTTTGATTGATAGCTTAATAAGGTGGTCTCCTCCACACCGAGAGTGTTTGTATCGGTATATTGTACATTATACATTCCCATCTACGACGCCATCATCCCTTGCTGAATATCAGGGTCCTCAGAAGTCCATATACAGTAATGCTCGTCCTTATCAAACACACACAAACACACACACAAACACACCGCCGAAGTGTTGAGTTCAGACCCTAATGCTCATCAAGGGTGGACAGTGAAACCACAGCACAAAATCGGCTGCAGTTTCCACGTCCAAGGCACAATCTGACGTCCAGAAGTTGTGGTGTGGTGCGATTCAGAGGGAGATTCGGGCACAGTGATGTTTGAGCTTGCAGGGCAGAATGCCTCGGTTCAGCTGGTAAAACTCAACTAGCTGCAGCAGGTCGGAGAAACGCGTGTGTCCGTCGTCCAGACTGTAGAAGAGCTCGCTGTTCTCTTCAACCTGACCGTCACACACACAGTCAGAGGTAAACAGCACAGCAAAGATTACAGTGGGGGAAATAAGTATTAAACAGGTCATGTTTTTTCCTGGGAGTAATATTTCTAAAGGAGCTGTTGACATGGGATTGAACAAGATTTTGCTAAAAACCTAAACAATACAAACATAAAAATAAAACAAAACATTTTTTTGAGTAATTAGTTGTGTGTAACAACAATGTAATGGCACAAGGAGAATATACGGAACTACTGAAATGATCTTTATTTTATATTTTCTATTGGGTTCAAGTCAGGTGATTGGCTGGGCCATTTTACAGCTTGATTTTCTTTCTCTGAAAGCATTTGAGAGTTTTCATTGTCTTGCTGAAATGTCCACCCTGGTTATATCTTCATCCTCTTGCTATTGTAGATGTTGGACTGAAGGAGCTAATATTCATTTACAGTAAGAAAGGGCAGAGGGTTGCTGAAGAACTACTGAGAGATTTCAGCTGCTGTCTGGGCTTTCACTGGATCTTTCTACACCTTCCTTTCTTCATGTGTTTAATACTTTTTCCCTGCGTCATTTCATTTTATTACAGATAACTTCATTTGTAAACTAATTCAATTTGTTCACTTTGTATAAATGGATTTTTTTTGGTTGTTACCAACATCTGGTGAAAACGTAGAGTCAAACGCACATTTAGTGATAGGTTTTCTGAGAAAAATGGTGTCGTGTTCAATTCCATCTTCCACCACTGTACATTAACAAAGGAAGCTTTTTGAAAAAATAAATTGTGAGGACAAATCTGTTAGACTATGGACCCTTTTCACAAGCCTGTTATGACGCGTTTAATGGTCATCAGCATCTTAAATCCTTTAAAGTTTTGATTAAAAATAAAAATGTTTGAACATTTATTATGTATGTAGCATATCATCTTTGCTTCAAATTACAAAAAGCAAAGTACCGCTTGTGCGAGGGGTTTCTAATACAGCGTCTATGGGACAGGACAGCAAATCTGACATTATTCTCTCCTCTGTCTGCCGTCATCAGTCTCACACAATTTTTTCTCTTTTTCTGAAAGTCATTATAACATCATTGTGGACTTTTTCTTTTATTATTTGAGCAAACAGGATCGTAGAAAAATGACTTGTTGTACTCTCCCATTCACTGCGATCTAAGTTTTCCCAACTATGATGACCTTCGCTACTGAGAAACCTGAAAGTGGAAAAAGGGTCTATTTTGATGAAAAGTTTGAATTAATTTACTTGGGACATAATTTACCATTTAGAAAAACATATTTTGATCAAGCTTATTTTTTCTATAGCCTTGCATTAGTGGAATTTAATACCACAGTCTGTTAGAGAATGTGTCTCATTTAATTCATTTAAGTACTGTATAATTTTAAGAGATCAACTTTTTAAATTTTAATAATCAACATTTACCCTATTTTTTGCTCTTGTTGTTGTTGTTTTGGTTTTTTGTTGACCATTAGAGTCCATTTTATAGTTTAAATTTGTATTTTATTGGTTTACACCTTTAAAATCTGGCAGTTCAAAAAGAACGATCATTCTAGCGGCCAAGATATTTCGGCGGTCGCTCATACACTGAGTATTACGGTAGAGCGCTAAACAGCAATGTATGTTTAGCAAGCTGACAGGAAGGATGACGAGGTCACTCGCTACACTGAAACTGCTGTCATGGAAAATTAAATGGATGTTCTTGGCTGGTAGAAGATGAAGAAACAATCCCACCCAAGGGTGTTCAGTGCTGCTGGACACACCCTCCTGAGCACAGTTCCTCCACAAAAACACGTAGCCTAATCTCGGTGAGTTAAAGGTTTTTAAATTATAAATGAATATTAATTAAACCATAAAATCACAATGTAGTCAGAGTATATAGGCTAATGTTGGGATTATTCTTTTAATATTCAGCTTCATCGTCGCCTTAATGCCAGATTGTGAAGAGAAATTAAACAAATCCCACAGAGCCTTTATCTTAATTTTGTTATTGCCAAATACCCGTCATAATTTAGAATTTATTTTAATTGAATTTGTTAAGAATAACTTATTTTTATTGGTGTGTTGGCCAATTTAAAGGCTAAGTGTATACCTAGGCCTATTTAGAGTGCTGAGATGTTACGATGTTACAGAGGACTTTTTTTTTTCTTTGTTCCAACTTCTAAGTGGTCTATGGCCTACGTTTGTTACGAATAAATTATATTAAAACATATAAATAACTCATTTTTGAAAAAAGGCAAAAGAGCTGTATGCAGGTGTATATTTGAGTAATGTCAGGCTGTAAACGGGTTCGGGCTTTATAAAGCTGTTAATCAAAATGTACCTGTTGGGCTTGGGCTGAATTTTTATGGCCCGATTACAGCTTTAATTTACAGTACGTTCTTGAGAAGTGTTGATTAATGCACACTTTCCTATGTTGTGAAATCAACAAACTTACATTAGAGCATTTGAGGACCATTGGGTCAGAGATACCAGAATAATCAGATTTATTTGTAGTTATCCAATACTGTAAAAGTTACTATTTAGACAATACTGTGCTTTTTCAGTGCTTCTTTTTTGCATTCAGACTGTCCCAAGTCAGACAATGCCCAAACAGAAAAAGCACAGAATGTGCCTAAAATATTAATGTATCAAATGTATTTGATAATTGCCAATACATCAGAGTATTCTAGCATCCCTAACCCAAAGGTCCACTAATGCTCTAGTAAAAGTTAACTAATTTTATTTATTTCAATTTATTCAATTTACTTATTTCACAACCAGGCAAAGTGTAAATAATATATGTATAATATTGATATTTTAATTCATTATATATTTAAATTGTAAAGCATGCTAAAATAGATGAATGTCTTCATGGTCCTTGCCATTTTGAGATTTCGATGCCATGAGGAGACAGCTTAAAGACGGTCTAAATAATCAAATTAGGAAAATATGTAAAGTATCAGCTACTTTTAATCAAATAAAAAAGAAGAAAATTGTATCATTTAGATGATTTCATTTGGAATTGCTCTTCATCATGGCAGAAGAGCATGTTTTATACATTTTACACATGTACACACATCGACAAAATGTTTAATGCATTAATAAAATTGAAAGTTATTGTAACGGAAAATGACAAAACAAATATTTTCTTTAAATTACAGGAAATACAAACTTAGGTATCTCCTAATGAGTGACATACAGGTTTATTAAGTTTAAATTTGCAGTACATGTACATGTTCTGAAACTTTATTAATCATTTTATTTTTCTTTAAACTGTTCAATTAAATAAATATCATTTTTAATAACACTTCTTTGTTATGTTTTAATAAAAAGAATTAAATAGAACTCTTAAAAAGGTTAATCAGAAAGAAAATGTTTATTCAGACTCACCGGTACGATCTGAAAGTGTTTGATTTTCTGCGTATGGCATAGCGACAGAACAAATGTCCTCGGGTTGCTTTGGCTGTCCCGTACCAGAAACACCCTGCAAAGACAAAATAAATCAATACATTTCAAATTAAAACTTCAAAATCTTTATTCTGGTGCTTTATTGCTTTAAAATGCCTGTTCCAGTGTTAATATTGATGGCAAATTTAGTTTTACTTTTAATTACATTTTAGTCTTCAGAATGATTTTAGTTTGTCTGGTTTTAGTTTCATAAGATTTTCATAAATTGTTTGTCGACTAAATCTACTCTAGGTTTAGTTGACTAAAATATATTTGGCTCAATTTAAGTGTAATTTAATTAAAATATTGTATACATTTATTCATACTAAATATTCTTACTTAAAATTAAATAAACCAGTCTCATTAAAATATTGAATATAGCTTTTCCGTAGAAAACCAAATTAAAGATTTGCATTGCTTATTTCAACCCATGCTCATTGCGAATATGTACCCACATCTACATTTTTGAGGACAGCAAAATACGTAACTGGAGGTACGTCTGCTTGCAGATTTTGTTTTGCAAATCCATGAAAGGCTTCTGTGTACGCTTTTTGATGATCACAACTTTCTCTCATGTGTCCTTTTCTCGCATAAATCCACCAGAGGGTGCAATATACACTTCGGCCAACCAGGCCAGCTTTCTGTCGACTGACTGACCAACTAACCTTCCCATCCCCTCCCCTAAACCCAACCGATAGTGTTTTCAAAAGCAATCTAGAAAAAGTAAAGCCATCGCTGCTGCGTGAATTCATCACATTTTCAGCCTGTTGGTAATTTATTTATATATTTATTACATTTTTTTGGTTTCTGGAACCGTTCATCAGCCCGTCAACTCTGCTTTGCATTCCAAGTCCATCTGTGTATGTAGCAAGCTACTGGGCAAACTGGTAACATAGGAAAAGCCATTCTCAGGGGAGGTAAGTGGTTTGTGGTAGCGTAAAAAAGGAACAGAAGCCGTCGACAGCATAATACCGACCCATGGCATTTATTTTAAAGATGAAATGGAGAAAGATGTACCTCTGGGTACATATATTGAGGTCTCCAGAAATGTAGACAGGAGTACATATCCACAATAAACCTGTGTTGGTTTATTCATAACATAAGTAATATGCAAAATTATTTGTCGGCCGTGTTTATCACAACACTTAAGTAACAGTTAATAGGATTACAAGTACCTTGATATTTTGTGATGAAAACCAAGCAAACCAAATAACCTGTATTATTAGAGTTTGAAATGAACCGTACCCATCAACGAGACCCTGCTGAGTGATTAATTTCTGAGCCTCTTCGCGGGACAGTTTGCTGTGAAACCATGGCTGAGCCATATGGATTGCTAGAGGAGAGGACGACATCATGAGTGTCAGAAAGACATCATTAGTGTGTTTTTGTTTTCTGTATTTGGTTGGGGTGTATGTGCTGACCTATGCTGGACATGGAGCTCTGAGAAGCGGACGGACTGCCATGAGAGCTCAATCTGTGACAGCTTTTCCTCTGGAAGAAAGCAACACACACAACACCTGTTACACACAGGGTTACAAAGAATAGTCATATGCTTCTCAAACTGCAAGACACAATGTTTTCAGGCTACTTCCGCTATGTTCCACTATGCATAAAACATTTGCGAATAAAACAAAAATGTCCATCCAATGAGTCAAAAAGAATTAAATCATCACCACATGATAAATTACAGACAAATATGAAAAAGAAAAGTGTCATTTGCTGCAATAGTAAAACCTACTGTCTGCCTTTTTGTCTTATCAGCAGAGCGGCAGATTCAGAAAGGTGCTAATGAGGGAGAGATGCTCAGTAATGGGCGGGGCTTTCTCCCATTAATGATATGTGCAAAGTGAGAATCTCAATCAATGGGCTCTATTTTAACACAAAGTCTAAAGCGCAGGGTGCAAAAGCATTAAGGGAGTGTCCACTTTTGCTTTTTTAAGGATGGAAAAATACGCTTCTACTGTTGCTGTGTGTTTTGAAGTGACCTGGTTTGGTTTTGGATTCATTACTCTGCCTCCTCTTCACCAATCAGCTGGTGTGGAGTGTGGTCTGGCACATTATGGCTGCCATCGCAAGCAGCGATTTTTTTACGTTAAAGGAACACCGAGTCACGAAATGCAGAAGATTTTTCTTTCTGTTTGCCATGCGGTATCAACTTACAACAGAAAGTTAAAATTGAAACACCCAAAATTGCATAACACTGGATAACCTGTGATGCAACTAATTGTTTTATACTGAAACTTGCCTTCAAAAAGTGCTTCCTTGGTCTTATGCACTTTTCTTTTACATTTTCTATCACATTCTATCACATTTATTTCCACCAAAACAGGAAGTAAAAAAAAAACTGCAACTGCGTTAATTGCGTAAATTTTTTTTAACGCGTTAATTATTAAAAATTAATCGCATGCGTTAACGCACTAATTTTGACAGCGCTAATACAGACTACTACAGACAATTTGGCCTACCCAATTTACCTGTAATGCATGTCTTTGGCCTGTGGGGGAAACCGGAGCACCTGAAGGAAACCCACGCAAACGCAGGGAGAACATGCAAACTCCACACAGACACGCCAACTGACCCAGTCGAGGCTCGAACCAGCGACCTTCTTGCTGTGAGGCGACAGCACTACCTACTGCACCACCGCGTCACCCCACATATGTATATATATATATATATATATATATATATATATATATATATATATATATATATATATATATATATACATAGATATATTTTTAATAAGGTACTTTTTTACTCTAACTCGAGTAACTTTTAAGATTGTTCTTTTTACTTTTACTTGAGTAAAATTTTCGGCATTTACTTGTACTCTTACTTGAGTACAGATTTTGGATACTCTACCCACCTCTGATCGCGTCATCCAGGTGGATGCTGCATACTTGTGGTGGATGACGAGATTCCCCCCAATGTGTAAAGCACTTTAAGCGTCCAGAAAATCGCTATATAATGTAAGCAATTATTATTATTATTTTTATTATTATTATTATTATTTTTATTGGTACTATTTTTATTATTATCATTACTCTTTTACCTTCATTGATAAGGAAATTGTGTGGAAATTAGTGACAATCTCTCTCTCATTAGCATAGGACATTAGACTTGTCATTAGACACTATGCTGACACACAGGCATTTTTAGCTCCGCCTTCTTCTGTAAAGAGCACATCTCATTTGAATTTAAAGCGACAATCAACAAAAAAGCACAATTTGGATGAAAGATTAGAAGGGGCAGCTTTAGAGAGGTATAAAACATTATCTGCGTGATATTTTGTGCTGAAATGTCACACACACACTCTCTATAGACACCAGAGATTTTTTTTTTAGATCTTGTTAAAAGGAACATAATAGCTTCCCTTTAACAAACAGCTATATTACACACATAAAAAGTATGTTCTAAGCAAAAACATGTTAAAGGAGGATTTTAAAGCATCTTGGGAAATTACCCTCCATGACAGGCCCTCTTCCACAGCTACCGACAGTGCCTCTGACGGGTTCTCGATCACCCGGGTCTTGTGTCCTGAGAAGTCTATGGCCACCAGTGAGTTTTCTGAGATGCTCCTCTGAAAACACACACACAAACACACAACACTCAATCTCAAAGAATAGAAACATAGATTTTTCTTTTTTGGGGGGGGGGTAATTATTATAATTATGCATTTTTTATTGGTATCAGCTCTCCTAACCCTAATACTTTATTAGGCTGTCATGTAAACCTCGTCCATTAGATGGCATAAAAACGCATCTATAAGTGGTTTTTCCAACTCAAATGTGCATCTGCTTCACACACACATTTGATCGAATGTGTCTGTGTTTCAGATAATACATGTGCTTAATTGCAACAAATCATTCCAAAAACCTAATAATAAACTGTTATTAGTATCGGACAATAAGTGACTTTGTGGCCATTACAGATTTCTATGGGTCATCTCTCTCTTTTTTTATATAATTTTACATATTTGAAGTCCCAAATATACATATTTACAACGTCTGTCTTTGTAACAGATGCTTACATTTACCAATGTCTTTATAGGGTCTATTTTTATTAACGATATAGATGGTTCATTGTTTAAGTATTAAATAATTTCATTTCTAATTGAATTACATAGTTACATGTGTTAGTTTATAATATAATTATGTATTAAATGCAGTTTTGTTTGTACAATATTATTAACCCTCTTGTATTAAAATAAATCAAATAAATGTGCTCAGAATGTGAGAGAATATAAACATAATAGTTTTAATAATTTATTTCTAGTAACTGAATTCTTTTATCTTAAACAAAATAAAATAAAATAATAAAATAACATAAAATAAATAAATTAAATAAAACAATAAAATAAAACAATGAAATAATAAAATACAAAAAATATTATAACATAAAATAAATAAAATACTAAAATAACATAATAAAATAAAATAATGTGAAATATAATAAAATAAATTAAAATAATAAAATAAAATAAAAAATAATAACATATAATAAAAAAATTAAATATAAATAAAATCAAATAATAAAATAAAATAAAATTTAATAATAAAATAAAAAATTAAATAAAATATAAATATATAAGACTTTCTTCACAAGAAACAAATAATAAAAAACTATGAAAATGCACTGCCCTGTTAAACATCACTTGGGAAAATAAATTCAAAGAAAGGAAAATCATTTGTATATAAACTCTATAAGCATACTACAAACATTTAAGTATTGATTTAGGACTCTGTATTGGCAGAATAATTTATTCATTCATTCATTCTCCTTCAGCTTAATACTTTTATTTATCAGGGGTCGCCACAGCGGAATGAACCGCCAACTTATCCAGCATATGTTTTACGCAGCGGATGCCCTTCTTGTATATCATCACTTTTCAATCAAATGTCAGCTGTAAAGCTGCTCTAAAAATGATTATACTGTGATTAGATCCTCTACAAAATCTCAAAATAGTCTGATGTGAATAATCCACATGCATTCAGATGTGGATTTGATTTGCTCTCTCTCTGACGGGTCTTAGTCGGAGAGGAATTTTGTTATTCTTGTACACGAACACTGGTTACTTTGTTCAGATGCCGCTTAAGGACTTTTGAGTTTTGAGGCTTATGCTCTTGTGCTGCTGCTCAAGAGCTCTCTTGCTTATCTAACAAAAGAAGCATTTCCCTTCGACACTGATCCCTATAGAGAGAGAAAGCAGCGATTATGGCATCTGAAAGGCCTTTAATTTGTGCCATGTGTCCATGTTCATACAACCACACTAATACACCAGCTGATGACAGAACAAATCTGCACACACACAGCAGATTCACCTGGTTCTGAGTTTGTTCGAGTAACAAAGTCAGAGGGCTCTATTATCCTGATATAAGTGCAAATTATAAAGGCTCGTACACACCGGGACGCTTTCGTTTGCGTTTATTGTCAGCCTATTTTAGCGGATTCAAACCGAAGCGATATTCACTAGCATCGAGCAGAAGATTATGCAAAATCACTCCTTGACGTTAGATGGTGCTATACAACTTTAAGCTTCTGGCACCCGCTCATACCTGCCTGGCACCCGCTTATATGGTTCCATAGATATATACACTAGATATCGCATAGGGACCCTCAGCATGCGTCAATAGCGCCGCCACATTGGTACAGTGCTCTCAGGACAAATGTCATTCAACCGCAATAGTCAAGACAGTGTTATTACGTGAAGATGCGGGACTTTAGCGCTGTCTACGAGTGTAGTAACGAGCAAACAAAGAAAACAAAGCACAAAGGCAGAACATTTCCTAGGTAATATTAAGTTTTTCTGTTTTTGAATGTTCTGAACTTTTGTGCTAATCAGGTAACGTTATTGATGATACAGTCACTTACTGAATTCACCATACAGCAAAGCAGCTCCAACTCGCACTAAACACTCGGCTTATGCTAGTTTTGTTGAATAAAATCAGCAAACAGTGCAAAAGAAATATGACAGCGAGATGCTGCACTGCCAGAAACTTGTATTATTGTCGGCTAACGTTAGTGAAAGAGTCGTTCGGGGGATTCATTCACAAACGAATCGCTCCCTCCGTCAGTATGAGAAGTGAAAGCAGGAGAGGAGGTGTGTTTCAGGACACAGATTAGATTAAATTTAACAGGGAGGGTGAATAGTACATTTCTGTACACACAAACACAAGCTTTTTGTCAGGAATGCCCGTGCGGTCACTGATCCATCAATGTAGAAAAGTGATGTAAAATTATAATTTTCGTAATTAGAAAAAAAAAATTACATACTAACATCCAGGAAAACTCCCGATCATAGATATATGTGTATATGTGTATATCTCTGGCTTTGGATGGCCACAGTCCTCCACTGTACCTTGGTCCCGCATTCATTTCAAAGGAGCGCTACCCTGTAGCAAGATGGCGGCGCTATTGACGCATTCCGTCCTATAGACAACAATAGGCCAGGCGACATCTAGTGTATATATCTATGATATGGTTTAGTTCGCGTGCACCTTCCCCTTTGCATCTTCTTTGATGTGCGCTCGCATTGACAGTTTTGCGCTTGAGCGCCTCCATGTGCCGTTAACTGTAACTTCAGCAGCTCCGTGCACGTGAACAAAAGTGCCAACCTGATTGGTGAAGAAGGTTTTAACGTGGCACGTTAAAACAAAAAAAACGAACATAAGGCATTTCTTTAAAAATGACGCTTTTGCACCTGACGTTTTGCGTGTTGGTGTGCATGATCACATTGGCGCCCTTTATTTAGTCACGAGTTAAATGTTGACCGAAAATGTGATCAAAAAGCATCCCGTTTTGCACAGGCCTTAAGGGTGCTGTCATACACCCGGTACAAAAAAGGCACAAGACATGTTTGGGGTGATTTGTTGCTATTTTCAGACCAGCACAACCCTAATTTTCATGTTTTGCACCTTGTGTAAATAGTAAATCTATTTGCGCCACTTTTTTTGACTCATGGGTGTGCAGGTCTATAAAGGAGGTGTGTTAAGGTGCATTGTTGGTGCGTTGCAATTTTGAGAAACTCAAATAGACCGCGCTATTGACCAGATGAAAGCAGGTCTAACGTCCAATGCAGAGCACGTTAGTTATGCACCTATGCTGGTCCAAACACTTACACATTGCTTAATACACAATATGTACAATATGTACAGCAATAAACAAATATACTTACATATGAAAACAAATAAAGGATTAAAATATTACAAAAATTACTATTTTCTACATTAATATAAAAACCACTGCCTCCATGCCTTCTTCATTTCGGGGGGCTTTTCAGTTTATTCATGACACTTGCATTTGTATAATGTTATTATTATTAGCAGTATTATTTATTATATGCATATTTATATTTGTTTTAATAAAAACAAGTTTAGATTTGTCCATCTGTTGGGTTTTGGAGATGTCTGCATCACCATATGGGCATAAGAACCGGATGTGTGTTTGGATATAACTCCAACTCTAACTTTTTTGACCACACTTCATTATTATTGTTCATTTATTTCTTTGCTGGAAATTAGAACTGAATTTAGAAATAGTTTTGAAACAAATCTTTGCGCTTTACAAATAAAATTAAATATGTAGGCTGATGGATGTCTTCAGTGAAGTGCCAACAACACCGTTTCCTTATCCACGAAAGTAAAGGAGTAAACAGTAAAAGTAAAGAGGCTGAATGGAGGAGGCTCGTTCTTTATCCTTGCGCTGCAGATGGTCTGTTTAACGTTTTTCTTGCTAGTGAAGCGCTCCATTTTTCCACTTACGAAGTCCACCATGTAACGCAACTGACTTATAAAGGCAATGGGAGACGAGACTCTGATTGGTTTAATGTTTATGCTTAAAAACACACCCATAACTCATTAAGAGAATAAGCACAACCCTGTTAGACCATGCGCCAGTTCACAGAGCATCATTTTCTGTCCTTAAAATAGCATAAGTAGATTTGGACATACCCTTAATGCTTTTGCACCGTGTGCTTTAGATCGTTAAAAAAATAGAGCCCTTATACCTGTTTTACACCGCAAGCACAAGCAGAGGATTAGCAGACCATGCGCAGCGTGTATGATAGATCTATCTATCTATCTATCTATCTATCTATCTATCTATCTATCTATCTATCTATCTATCTATCTATCTATCTATCTATCTATCTATCTATCTATCTATCTATCTATCTATCTATCTATCTATCTATCTATCTATCTATCTATCTATCTATCTATCTCTGTTCATCTGTATGTCCGTCCATCCATCCATCCGTCCGTCCGTCCGTCCGTCCGTCCGTCATCTATCTATCTATCTATCTATCTATCTATCTATCTATCTATCTATCTATCTATCTATCTATCTATCTATCTATCTATCTATCTATCTATCTATCTATCTATCTATCTATCTATCTATCTATCTATCTATCTATCTATCTCTGTTCATCTGTATGTCCGTCCATCCATCCATCCATCCATCCGTCCGTCCGTCCGTCCGTCATCTATCTATCTATCTATCTATCTATCTATCTATCTATCTATCTATCTATCTATCTATCTATCTATCTATCTATCTATCTATCTATCTATCTATCTATCTATCTATCTATCAATACTTTTTTTTTTGCTTTATCTGCACCAAGGCCCCTCTGAAACTTCCTCCTATGCTGTTTC